CTTCAACCGTGGTATTTTCCATCTTGTTAACTTCAACCGTGGTATTTTCCATCTTGTTAACTTCAACCGTGGTATTTTCCATCTGGTTAACTTAAACCTTGGTATTTTCTATCTGGTTAACTTCAACAGTGGTTTTCCCATCTGGTTAACTTCAACAGTGGTTTTCCCATCTGGTTAACCTCAACCGTGGTATTTTCCATCTGGTTAACTTAAACCGTGGTATTTTCTATCTGGTTAACCTCAACCGTGATATTTTCCATCTTGTTAACTTCAACCGTGGTATTCCCATCTGGTTAACTTCTTGTTAACTTAATTGGGGCATTATCTTCTTGTTAACCTAATTGTGGTATTATCTTCTTGTTAACTTAATTGTGGTATTATCTTCTTGTTAACTTAATTGTGGTATTATCTTCTTGTTAACTTAATTGTGGTATTAACTTCTTGTTAGCTTAATTGTGGCATTACCATCTTGTTAACTTAATTGTGGTATTACCATCTTGTTAACGTAATTGTGGTATTACCATCTTGTTAACGTAATTGTGGTATTATCTTCTTGTTAACTTAATTGTGGCATTACATTCTTGTTAACGTAATTGTGGTATTAACTTCTTGTTAACTTAATTGTGGCATTATCTTCTTGTTAACTTAATTGTGGTATTATCTTCTTGTTAACCTAATTGTGGTATTACCTTTTGTTAAATAAACTTCAGTGTTACTTTGTAGCCCATCACATTTATGCTTGTTTGTGTTTTCGCCTGCAATATATTTTATACTAGTAATGGGATAAAAGGCCAGGTCACAGACCCCTATTTTTCAGGCATAACGTCTTTAAGAGAGAAAGCAACAAGTCATCAGTACCCGCCGCCTAAAGCGTATACTCTTAATGGAATAACGGAATTGGCTATCTCTCATATAACTCATCCACAACTGAAATAGCAGGACATGTTTGGTAGTATCGAACCGCTGTCAACTCCCCAGTCCACCAACCAGGCTGAACACGTGCCGTACTACTAGCACTCACTGCTGGGTTCTCTTGAATGAACAGTGGGATGTCACAGTTATAAACACGATCAACTTAGAACAACTGAACAGAGGAAAGGAAACCAGTCAGTACCACTCACTGCTGGGTTCTCTTGAATGAACAGTGGGATGTCACAGTTATAAACACTGACTGGTTTCCTTTCCTCTGTTCAGTTGTTCTAAGTTGATCGTGTTTATAACTGTGACATCCCACTGTTTATTCAAGAGAACCCAGCAGTGAGTGCTACTGACTGGTTTCCTTTCCTCTGTTCAGTTGTTCTAAGTTGATCGTTTCTCAGACTTGTTCGATGAGACTACGTGTGACTTGGTTGAGAAGATAACGAATTATTTACATCAACACTAGGTTTAAAGAGGATGTTTCAATATATCAACCATTGAAACCATCGGTCAGTGTTACAACAGCAATCGTTGAAACCATCGGTCAGTGTTACAACAGCAATCGTTAAAACCATCTGTCAGTGTTACAACAGCAATCGTTAAAACCATCGGTCAGTGTTACAACAGCAATCGTTGAAACCATCGGTCATTTGAATCCATTAGACAGTCTGACAACACCGATCATTTGAATCCATTAGACAGTCTGACAACACCAATCATTTGAATTCATTAGACAGTATGACAACACCAATCATTTGAATCCATTAGAAAGTATGACAACACCAATCATTTGAATCCATTAGACAGTCTGACAACACCAATCGTTTGAATCCATTAGACAGTATGACAACACCAATCATTTGAATCCATTAGACAGTATGACAACACCAAACGTTTGAATTCATTAGACAGTATGACAACAC